TATATATACACATACACACACATATATGTTATCGTTAAGTGCTATTGAGTCAGTTCCGATCCATAATGACCCTGTATAGGTTTTCCAAGTAGTGGCTGGTGAGTTCCTCATGTGAAACTACCACTCATCTGCCTGTGGAGGTTCGTGTAGCATGTAATAACAACAGTGTTACTATTGTTCATGTTTTATCTTAGATGAAGGAACAAAATATAGGTGGCAAGTTAGATTTAACCAAGATTTGCGCTTTCCTGGAAAGCACAATAGAATGAGAAAAGGTAAGATTATTTGAAAACCAGTGATTCTGATGATGGTTCATGCAGTGTAAGCCAGCTATGGAGGGGCATGAAGATATGAGGGGTAAGTAACAGTGGTCCGGTCAGTGGGTTGATAGACCCATTTGAGTGAAATACAAAGGCAGGAGGCAACTGTGACTGCTTGAAATCAATAGTGTGCAGTTGATGATAGTGATAAGGTCATGGGGAGTGACCACAGAAGTGGGGAACTGAGGTAGATTGGAGCATATGATCATAAAATCCTAAGAACTGAGAGGAGGGTAGGCTTTGAAAAACTCATTTGCCTGGGTATTGAAATTATCAAGAATGAAGATAGAAGTAATGACAGAAAGAGATACAGTAGGCCAGGAACGAAAATTCTTAAGGAGTAAAGAGAACCAATCCTGAGTTGGTACCTAAATTGCATAAATAGATGATTGATCTCAGATCTGTACTCTCTACCATACATTTGAGGGTTATTTTATATAAACCCTTAAACATATCTTCTCCAATTGCTGAGATTAATTTTGACCAAGTTAAATAATAGTGTTTTTCTCTCAATTTCAGAAGAATTTATTGCCTACATTACTTATTTTAAACTTGACTTCTATTAACTTACATTTGTCTATTCATTTTTATTCTTGTGTAAAATCTTGAAAATGAAAAAAAAAATAGTTTCTGCTTCTTTTATATCTGTAATACTAACAATTGGCTTTCAGTAAATACTTATCCATTGTTGATGAAAAACTTACGTGGATTAGATAAAGTAATGCTTAATAATCTATCTTCTCTCCTCATAGTATTTCATGGCACCCCTCAAAAGATTTCTGACAGCAGCAGAATTTGATTTGGTGTTCATCAACATTCCTGTAAGTAACAATACATTAGCTAAATTTGTACTATATGAGTATTTCTGTAAGTTCCTAATTTTATTACTGGGTTGCAGATTGCTGTTTTTAACACCCTCTTGTTTTCTCTAAAGAATTTTGACTTTTGTTTTTGCCTCCCAAGTTCTTAAAGCTTTATTTTCTAGAAATTAATAAATTATTTGTCATACTGTTAGGTCAAAGTTAGTTAAAATACATATAGAACACAGTTGGACAGGTGAGATGCTTTTGTTGCTCTGAACTGTTAGGCATGATGAGGTGCCTTGTTGTTAAGTGCCATCAAGTCTGTTCTGACTCATAGCGACCCTGTACAGGGTTTCCAAGGAACAGCTGGTGGGTTTGAACTGCTAACCTCATAGTTCAAACTGACTTTATGACCAGTGCTTATCCTACAGTGCTACATTTATTTGTCTTGTGATAGTTTTCTTCTGCTCTGGTCTTCCTCCGGTCCCATGAGCCCCATCTTATACTCTGTCCTGCTGGATTGGTGGTCTTCTCTGTGTCACACCATCCCTCCAGTTCCTTGGCCTCTGCTCTTTGGTGCTTTCTGCTTCCTAATGAATGAAACTTAACTCTCATTGCTGAAATGTACTATTTCCCTCCTACTCAACAGCCTATTTTAATGGTACAATATAAGGAGATTTACTTTACATTTATGCCATCATTTCACATTTCAAGGCACCTTACGTAATCTTATAAACCCAAGAGGATATTTACCCAGAAATATAGCAAAAAGCTCAATGATTAGCCAGGTCAGATCATGCTAGGCAGGATTCAAGTTCTTAGAGCCCTAGAACTCGTTTTAACAGATTTCTTCTATGTATAGCCTAGTTGACATCACCAAGGATCTCTGTTAGCATAGCAGTTATGAGTCAGGCTGCTAACCTCAGGGTCAGCAGTTTGAAACTACCAGTGGTTCCACAGGAGAAAGACGAGGGTTTCTGTCCCCTTAAAGATTTACAGCCTCAGAAAGAAACCCTGTACAGGCTTGCTATGAGCCGGAACTGATTCCATGGCACACTACCACGACCATTACTAGTTGACATCACCAACAAAATTCTTATATTTGATGCTCCTATGGTCAGTGTTGCAGAGTACTAGTTGGTTAGCTCTGGCTTATCTTTCTCCCATATTTTGGCCAAATGAAGGCATTGTTCTTGATTTTTAACATAGCTAGAAGAAAATACACGTAACATTAGATTAAATTTTACCATAAAACAAACCTGCATGTTATAGGAAGGTAACATGCCTAAACATGGTTCTTATAACTTAGAAATGATTTTGCATTCCTTCTTATAGTTTTCCCATGCTTCTCTACCAAATGTCAGAATCAACATATTCATGTTTCATTCTACCCAACTGAAGGAAGTTCATGCTGTGAAGTCAGTGTGTTCCAAGGCACACAGGGAGAGAGAACGGGGGATAGGCACATTGGTTCACATCCCCTCATGTCTTGGCTAGTCATATATTTATTGTCTGATGGAAAATTACTTGCTTTTCAGAGGGAAAAAAAAGAAATTCTTTCTTTTGAGTTGCTCTAGCCAACTGTCTAGTACAATTTATTTGCTCCTTCTTTATGCCATTAGTTGTCTGGTTTCAGGTAATTTAGTCTGATTATTGTTAGCTTAACACCAGGACACTACTAATTGACCAAAGTACAATTGTTTTTGTTTTTGTTTTTTTTTTTTGCCCAAAGACATAAATCATTACTTTATCCTGCCAATAAAACATTTAGCACTTAGGTACTTTTATTTAAAATGTAAAGCAATTGTAAAATGAAAAGGAGCTGTACATATTTTTATTCAAGGAAGAAATTGCTCTTTAATAACTAGTGAATCATTTCTCCTTATACAGGACACTGGCATTTCGACTTAGAGCTGAAATTGCCTTTTCCCTTGCACATGACCTCCCTCTCTCACTCCCTCGACTTTTTCCTTCTATCTTTTCTTCCTTTCCTCTTCTTTTTTTTATATAAATAGTATTCTAGGATGTTTTCAGCAATGGTTTATACAGTTTGGCTTCCCTTTCAACCATTTCTATACAGTGTGTTGCATGACATTGGTTACATTCTTCACATTGTATTAACATTGTCATGTTTCCATTCTGGCTGTTCCATTTCAACTGATCTAGTTTCCCTACCCACTACATTCTCATCTTTATTTATTTATCCCCCCCCCCCTTTTTTTTAATGTTTTATTGTGAATTATATGATAGTTTACATGGGAGAACATTAGCCTTACAGTCATCCTATTGTATATCCTTTCATTGCTATGGTTACAATCCCCTCCATGCATCATCAACCAACCTCAGCACATAGTCCCTCTCCCTCTCAGGGTCTAGAGTCCCCAGCCACGCCTTCTCTCCACATCATCATCTCTGCCTCCATCTCTGGCATCACTGTTTCTCTGGGTAGGGTCCCGCTCTCCACTCTTCTACCTTGATGGTCCCAGGGACCTCCGCTTCTAGACTGCAAAGTCAATCACTCCCCTCCTTTTGCTACAAAACATCTACCTTTACATTTCCAATCCTCACAATCAGTTCTGATAACAGTTATTCACTATTGTATCACAAGAGACTTATCCATATATCCTTTCATCAGCCCCGCCCAGACAGATTGGATACTACTCAGTGGAGAGTCTACCTTCCTCCACGCCCCCTGGATCTAGTCTCTCTCTTGGAAGCTAGTAAGCCAGTCACTTCTTGCCTTCGTAGCCCCCTCATTTTGGGTAACCAGTGTCCAAGTTGCCTATCCCTGTCTACTCTGTGTATGGACGGGGGTGGGAATGATCCTTGCTGTAAAGATTTGTTCCCTCATTTGAGCTACTGCATCCATAGGTATACTTCAGATTCATCAAATTGTATCAAATTACTCTTTTTTTCCCTTTTCTTTCTTCTTCTGGTTGGGCTCTGATCATCCAGTCATTGAAGCCAGGTCAAGTGGGTATTATCTGCAAGAGTGGGTGTTCTTATGCATATGCCCTCTCTTCTTATCAGCTGGATTTCATCTTTATTTTAAAGCAGTTGTTGACTATTTGGTATTACATAGATGATTTGTTGTTTTTATTAAGTGCCATCGGGTTGGTTCCCTGTATAGGGTTTCTGAGGCTTTAAATTGCCACAGGAGCCGAAAGCCTCATCTGTCTCTCATGGAGCAGCTGGTAGACTGAAACTGTTGACCTTGTGGTTCACAGTCCTGTGCTTATCACATGGAGCCACCACACTCCCTCAGTACTTGTAGATGATATTTATTATTTTTGAGCAATTTGTTATTTAGCTAAAGGGTGACCTCAGAGGTTAGCTTCAGTTAAGGTTTGAAGAGTTGTTGTAATTGTTAACTGATGTTGAGGGTCAGTCCAGCTTATAGTGACCTTGTGTACAACAGAACAAATCACTTTCCCTTCCTATACCATCCTCACATCAGTGCTATTCTTGAGTCCACTATTGCAGCCACTGGACACTGGACAATGTGTCAGTCCATCTTTTTTTTTTAATGTTTTATTGTGAATTATGTGATAGTTTACATGGGAGAACATTAGTTTTACATTCATTCTATCATATATCGTTTCATTGCCATGGTTACAATCCTTTCAATGCATCATCAGCAAACCAAAGGGTATACCCTACAAGCCTGACCCCCGGTCGTCAGCACACAGCCCCTTCTCCCTCTCTGTGTCTAAAGTCCCCAACTGCTCCATCTCTCCATGTCATCATCTCTGCCTCCATTTCAGGCATCATTGCTTCTCTGGGTAGGGTCCCGGTCTCTGCTCTTCTCCCTTGACAGTCCTAGGGACCTCCGCTCCTAGACTGAAAAGTTAATCACTCCCCTCCTTGCTACAAAACATCTACCTTTACATTTCCAACCCTCACAATCAGTCCTGATAACAGTTATTCACTATTGTATCACAAGAGACCTATCCGCATTTCATTTCATCAGCCCCGCCTAGAAAGATTGGATACTACTCAGTGGAGATTCTACCTTCCTGTGTCAGTCCATCTTATTGAGACTCTTTCTCTTTTTCATGATCTCTTCTACTTTACCAAGCGTGATATCCTTTTCAAGGGACAGGTCCCTCCTGATAATGTTTCCAAAGTACATGAAACAAGATTTCACCATCCTCGCTTTTAAGGAGCATTCCAGCCATACTTCTTCCAAGTCTCATTTGTTTGTTCTTCTGGCAGTCCTGGTATATTCAATATTCTTCTCCAACACCATACTTTAAAGGCATCAATTCTGCTTTCGTCTTTCTTATTCATTGTCCAGCTTTCACATGCATATTAGGCAATCAAAGATATCATGGTTTGGGCCTTGTGCACCTTAGTCTTCCAAGTGACATCTTTTTAAAGGTCTCTTGCAACAAATTTGCTCAGTTCAAATGTGCCATTTGATTTCTTGTCTGCTGCTTACATGGTTGATTATGCATTCAAGTAAAATGAAATCCTTGATGGTATCAGTACTTTGTCCATTTATCATGATGTAGCTGTTAGTCCAGTTGTAAGAATTTTTATTTGGTGAGTGTCTCGGGCCTATAGTATCAAAGGAGTACTTCAGTCTTAACCAATCCAGGAGGTCTTTTTCTGTTTGTTTTTTCAATGTGAGGTCTGTTCCTTCTTTTTCTCCCATTTTATCAGTGTCTCTGTATTGTAACCCTGATTAGACAGTTGATGGTGGTAGCTGGGCACCATCTAGTTCTTCTGGTCTCATGGTCGATGAGGTCATGCTTCATGCCTTCCCTTTATTGATGATATACCAAGATTTCTCTATGGAGCATTTAGCATATAGTGATTTTCAGTTTGCAGTATAGATTTTGATTCTCATTCCTAATTTCCTTTGACATTTTGTTTCTTCCCCCTAAGGAACTTGTGAAAATTCATCGGAACCTAATGCAAGAGATCCATGATGCCATTATAAATAAAAATGACCAGAACTTGTATCAAGTTTTCATTAACTATAAAGAAAGGTAACTTTAAAAAGTTTTAATTTGTGGGTATTAATGATTCTAGTGATGTTTAGTATTCAAAATGATGAAACATAGCTTATTACTAATATTAAGATACTAGCTGGACAGTAGTTAGAATATATATAATTAACTTCAGGTTAATATTTTCAGCTACTGGACCATAAGATCACTTTGAACTGCAAGGTCAGTGGTTCAAACCTATAAACTGCTTCTCAGAAACCTTAAACAGGTTGCTATGCATTGGAACCGACTCCACAGCAGTTAACAACAACAACAACAACAACATACAAATATTAAAAAGAGAAAAGAAAAAAATCAAGTTTGATTCAGAGACTTTTGACTGGAAAAATCCAAAGGCTCAAGTTCTTTTACAAATCCTGTCATTAGTGAGCTGTGTAATTTTTAGCAAGTTATCTCTATGATCATCCATTTCCTGTTGGTGATAGAATAGTTGGTACCTTATTCTTGACGTCCATGTGGAAGAAATCCTGGTTTGATACCGAGTCCAATTCCCAGCCATTGCTCCTGCAGCTACCACCCATCTTCAGTGGAGACATGCATGTTGCCATGATGCTGAACAGGTTTCAGTGCAACTTACAGACTAATGTTGTTGTTAAGTGCCATCAAGTTGGATCCTACCCGTAATGATTCTGTATAGGGTTTCCGAGGAGTGGCTGGTGAGTTTGAACTGCCGACCTTGCGCTTATCCTGCAGCACCAAAGATAGACTAAGTAAAAAGGCCTGGTGATCTGCTTCTTAAAGTCAGCCAGTGAAACCCAGAAGATCACTACTGCCCACATCCCAGCCCATCAGGGCAATGACATAGGACCTGGCTGCATTTCCTGCTGTTGTGTATGTGATCTCCATGCATCAGAGGCCAATTTGACAGAGGTTAGCTAACAACAAGAGTTCCTTCAGTTCCTAATAGTTTTTATTCTTTAGGTGTGTAGTCAAAAGTCAGTTTCCCTTTTAATTTTGGAAAAAGTATCTCTTAAATGACTCCCACTAGTTAGAGTTTGAAGGGCAAAATGTAGTTTTATTTTTAAAACCAACAATATAATTTCTAGTACTGACTACAAAGCAGCTAATAAATTGCTAAGCATCTACTCATAGATAAATATTAACCTCTTGTTAATAGTTTTATTTCAATGTAGAATTAAAATAAACAACCAACCAGCCTATTTGAAAAAATATCTGCATTACTTCATTATACTCTTCATTAAAGCCAACTCAGACTGTGCCATATGAATTCTCTTACACCCGGCACGATTTGAGCCTCTAGGTCCCAGTTTTTAACTAACATTTTCATTAGTTTAAAATTAGGAATCAGTAGTAAGTTTGCTAATGTGTGCAGTTGTAAGTGGTGATTCAAATAAAATTTTAAGGTAAAATAAATTTGTTTTTGAGTATAACTATATGGCAAAAAGTTGATCTATGTGAGAAATCTCCACTTGAGAGGATGAGCAGACCAGCCTGGAGCAGCTAGAAGAATAAAAGATACCTCTTGAAAGAAAGACCTGCAGGAAAAATGGAGGCAGATGGGCTGTTACTATAAGAACAAACACATTGCTTCCCTAGAAAACATCAAGGCAAGTGGCCAGGTCCTCTCAACACAAACCCCCTTCCAAGACTAAGACTCAATGGAAATACACGCTCTGATTGGTGACCATACACATCACCGATGGGGGGAAGTGGGGTAAAAGCAGCAATGAAACGGCAAGCTAAGCCCTACAATGTTCAGTGGACTTCTGTGGACCCAGTTGGGGACATGGTTGGCAAGCAGTGTGAAGAGGCCTGGGGACTTTTGGGCCCAGAGACAGTGGTGTGACCACAGAGGACTTGAGAGGAGAGTGGAGCTACCAGCTGACGGGAAGAGAGGACATATGCACAGGAGTGCCCACACTTGCAGATGATACCCACGTGACCCTGACCGGATGACTGGATGATCAGAGTTCAATCAGGAGAGGAAAGAAGAGGGGAAGGGGGGAGAAAAAGTGAGCTGATACAGTCTGATGAACTTGACCTATACCTATGGAGCAGCAACTCAAAAGAGGGAACAAATCCTCACAGCAAGAAATATTCACACACACACCCCCCACACACAGAGTGGACGGAGAAGGGCAGCTTGGACATTGGATACTCAAATGGGGAGGGGGGGACTACAAAGGCAAGAAGTAACTGGCTTACAAGCTTTCAAGAGGGAACCTGGTGCTAGGGAGCATGGCAGAAGGCAGAATCTCCAGAAGGTACTATTCAGTCTGTCTGGGCGGAGCTGATGAAAGGAGATACAGATGGGTAACTCATGATACTGTAGTGAATAATGCTTATCAGGACGGATTATGAGGGTTGGAAATGCAAAGGTAGAAGTTTTGTAACAAGGAAGGGAGTGATTGATTCTCCAGGATAGGAGCGGAGGCCTCTGGGACCATCAACGGAGAAGAGCCGAGAGTGGGACCCTACCCAGAGAAACAGAGATGCCTGAGATAGAGACAGAGATAATGATGTGGAGTGATGAAGTGACTGGGGACTTTGGACCCAGAGAGGGAAAGGGACTGTGGGCTGAAAACTGGGGGGAGGAGGGGGAAGTGTAGGGAGAGGGTTTCTGGGATATACCCTTTGGGTGGTTGAGGATGCATGGAGGGGATTAGAACCATGGCAGTGAGATGATATACGATGGATGGAATGAATGTAAAACTAAAGTTCTCCCATGTAAACTATCATATAATTCACAATAAAACATTAAAAAAAAAAAAGTTGATCTATGTTAGGATCTTAAGTACATTTTAATTTTTGTTTCTGTGATAAATGTATTTGCTTACTCAAGTAACAAATGTCCATGGAATATAAAAATGTCCATGGAATTATCTCATTTAAATTTGGAACTAAAAGTTATTTGTAATACTATAAATATGAGTCACTCTCATCCTTCTGATGACTGTGTGAGTACCAAAGAGAATTTCTGTTGTTGCTTTGAGGATCCTTAACTGTGGTGTTAAAAAGATGAAAATTCTGCTACTTTACCCCTGGATTTCATTCTTATTTTTAATTTTACGACTTTCTTTCTCTCTCTTTTTTTTCCTTGCAGGTTGGTTATTTATGGGCAGTACTGCAGTGGAGTGGAGTCGGCCATCTCTAATTTAGACTACATTTCTAAGACAAAAGAAGATGTGAAATTGAAACTAGAGGTGTCTCTTTATTTTTGCTTGTTTATGACATGGAAAAAATAAACCTAATAGGAATATATTCGTTGCCATGATCAATGCAGCAGTGAAATTTCTCTTGTATTCTGAATAAAATTGTCAAATTTATAAAATATTTTAATAGCTCATAAAACAAATAATGTGGTTGTAATAATATAGTAATGAAATCTAGGATTTACGGTCCAGTGTTTTATATGCATTATCTCATTAGATCCTCATGACTATGCAGTATATATGCAATTGATTTTTCCATGAGGTTCATATAGATTATAAGTAATTCGCCCAGAGTCACCTAGCTAGAAAGAATTGCAGGATGAGTAAGCCATATATTATATGGGTTAAGAAAATGTTCATTAAACATCAGGCATTTAGTGCCATAAATATAAAAAGGATATGGTTCTTGCCCATAAAAAGAAAACAAGACATACACAAATATAATAGAATTACATTGTACAACATAAACACTGTGTGACAAGGCTCCACGGAAGATTCAATAACTACTTTAATATGGAAAGATTGTGGAAGATTTATCTGAAGAGGCAACATTTGAGTTAGGTGACTGAAGAATGGGTTAAATTTTGATAGACGAGATTCCATAGTGACTTGTCCAGAATAATTGGTATGTCCTGACCAAAAGAGTTAGAAAAGCTTGAGAAATGGCTAGCTAGTAGGCACATAGTCACAATGGAAAATAAGTCTGGGAGATTTTTGTGTAGACATTATATGAGTTAGCATCACAAATGTTTTATCCATGTAGTTGTATTTTCTTAAGTTTCAGATTGAGATATAGAATCAGCATGTCAATGACTGTGTGATTGTCTTGCCTTTTAATACCCCCTTCGCTCTTCTTTGTGTAGTTTCTCAGTGTGGTTAGTGATGAAGAGGGAAAAAGAAGTAGCTGACTTTCAAATCAGAACTCCTTCATTATTTTAATATATCAATCATGGTTTCATAACTCATTAGCTCCCAGAAAGGAAAACCAGAAAGGGTTTGAAAGTTTGTACATTCATAGACCACCAACTAACTGTATTAATATATATCCTGGATTGTTTTTGTTACCTATCTCAGTCCTTCTATTGGGTGGTCCATATGTCTGGAGATGGTTGGTTTTACATCCTCATAACTTTGCTGGTGCAAAGGTTCCTGCTTCTTTTGAGGAAACAGAGCCTTAAAAATGTAGAACTATAAGCCATTTTGAATCAATAAACTAAAATATGATAGTAAAATAAATCTTTGCAATGTACACACACAGTTTCTCATAGAGTTACCATTAAAACATTAAAAAAATAGATATAAAGATCTATTTGAAAACTGGAGTCCGTTATTTTTCAGCTAAGCCTCTAGTATACTTTACAGCATTATTTCAATATTGCTTCCCCTCCTCTGAGTATTAAAAGTAAATAAATGGTAAACATAACCCCCCCACCGCCAATTCCTGGTCACTAGCTTAGCCTAATCTCTAATTCTAATCAAAAGGAAAATTACATGGGGTAGTGTTGAGTCAATCTTATAGGGCAAGATAAAGAGACTCTTATGAACCATTACCTCATGTTGTCTTGTTTGTAAAGAGTGGAGAATAAAAGATAAAAATTAAAAAGAGCAAAGAGAGTTTTTGAGAGTTACTGTCCGTTTCTGTATAGTAGAACGCTAGGTCCATCATTTCTGTGGTCACTATCAGGTTTTGAGGAGCCCTGGTGGTGCAATGGCTAAGCGCTCAGCTTCTAACCAAAAGGTTTAGAACACACCCAGTGGTGATTTACTGGCGATCTGTTCCCATAAAGACTATACTTAGAAAATCCTATGGGGTAATTCTATTCTGTCACATGGTATTGCTATGAGTTGAAACTCGACTCATCTACATCCATCAAGAACAGCATGAGCCTTAAGGAGAGAGGACTTGGGCTGTATTTGAAAGGCTAAGGGGAGGTATTGCTTGTTGTTCTTTTCTCAGGTAAAGGGCCCCTATTTCTGACCACTGGCTTGATTTTGAGATATGTATATAATGCATGGAAGCAGCAGTCAAGAAATCCAATAACATATTGCACTGGACTAATCTGCTGCAAAAGACCTTTTTGATAAGATGTTAAAAAGCAAAGATGTCACTTTGAGGAATAAGGTATTCCTGACCCAAGCCATGGCATTTTCAGTTGTCTCACATGCATGCAAAAGCTGGTCAACAAATATGGAAGAACAAAAAGAATTGATGCATTTGAATTTTGCTGTTGGTAAAGAATAATGAATGTACCATGGACACTAGAAGAACTAGCAAATTTGTCTTGGAAAGACAGCTAGAATGTTCCTTAGAAGTGAGAATGGCATGACTTTGTCTCATGTACTTTGGACATATCATTAGGAGGGACCAGCCCCTGGAAAAGGACACCAGCTTGATAAAGTAGAGGGTCAGGGAAAAAGAAGAAGATCCTCAACAAGATAGATTAACACAGAGACTGCAACAATGGCTCAAACATAGTAACTGTGGTGATGGCAAGGTACCAGGCAGTGTTTTGTTCTGTTGTGCACAGGGCTGCTATGAGTTGGAACTGGTGAGGGCACATAGCAACAGTGTCACACCTCACAAAAACATTTTGCAGAAATGCTTTCTGCAAACACGGTTGTTGTTGTGTTGTTGTTAGGTGCCATCCAGTCAGTACCAACTCATAGCGACCTTATGCACAGCAGAACAAAACACTGCCCGATGCTGAGCCAACCTCACTGCTGTTGCCATGCTTGAGTCCATCGATGCTGCCACTTGGCTAATCGATCTCATTGGGGGTCTTCCTCTTTTTCTCTGACCCTCCACCTTTCCAAACATGATATCCTTCTCCAGCGACTGGTCCCTCCTGATAATATGTCCGAAGTATGAAAGACGATGTTTGGCCATCTTGGCCTCCAAGGAGCACTCTGGCTGCACTTTTTCCAAAATGGATCTATTGGTTCTTTTGGCAGCCCATGGCACTTTCGATATTCTCCTCCAACACCATAACTCAAAAGCATCAATTCTTCTATGGTCTTCCTTATTCACTGTCCAGCTTTCACATGCATATGAGGCAGGCACACCTTAGTCCTCAAGCTGACCTCTTTGCTCTTCAACACTTTAAAAAGATCTTGTGCAGCAGATTTGCCTAATGCAATACATCATTTGATTTCTTAACTGCTGCTTCCTTGAGTGTTGATAGTTGACCAAGAAGAATGAAGTTCTTAACAACTTCAGTCTTTTCTCTGTTAATAAGAATGTTGTTTATTGGTCCAGTGGTGAAGATATTTTCTTTATATTGAGATGCAATCCATACCAAAGGCTGGAGGAAAAGCTGCTTTATTCTTGCTCCCTACCTGCCTTCTTTATGTCTTCTGTTTTGAGGTTATCATTGGTCTTTTTAATTTTTGTCTTTTATTTCTCTACTTTAGAAACATGAGAACATTGGTTAATGGTTGATAGAGTCTCTTTATCTTACCCTATAGGATTGCCTCAACCTTACCCCATGTTATTTTCCTTTTGATTACGATTGGAGGTTAGGCTAAGCAAGTGAGGGGAATTTGGGGGGGAAATTATGTCTTCCATTTATTTACTCTTAATACTCATAAACACTGTACATCTCAGTCTCACCCACCAATTGTACCTCATGCTAGCAGTGTCAAATTCTTTTCTCCCCTGAGCCTACAACTTAATAGGGCTGTTTTCCCCCAACACAAATATAGTAATTTCCATCACATAACCAAATGAATGATAAATGCATAACATTTGTTCACAGTCTGATGTCCTAACACTATGTTGGGATGGTATCATGTAAGAAGTTAAAAATAAACCTCAATTCCAGACTTAAAAATTTCAGCTCTGATGATGAATTATAATAATATTAGCAGTTTGCCCTTTTTTTTTGAGACTCATTATCCAGTCACTCGACAATATGTAGAAGCAAGACATCAATTGAAATAACTACCCTTCCCATGAACCACAGCAATTGACGAAACATGAACAAACATGCAGGGATGTGTCCATAATTGTTGTTGCCTAAGGTCGGTGGGAAAGCACACTCATTAAGTAACCCGTCATTAGAGCTAATGGTGTTTGCTTTGCAGCTCCTGATTATATAGCCTTTATTGTGCCAGATAAGTGTGGGTAAAGGAAGAGCAAATCGATGAATAGAGGTCTGTTTCCTTGAGTACATTTGTTCCCCCTGCATAAACTAGAAAATTATTCCTTCTGGGATTTCATTGCAGGTTTTAGGTTTATGAGATTGATCAGCAAAAATATTTGCATGGAAGTTGGTTATGTTATTTTGAACCACACTACAGACATATGAGAAACAGTAAAATCAAAAAAGTAACTAGTCCAAAGCCCCACAGCCAGGAGTTGTTAAAGACAATTTAAACTTAGGCATCAAAACTGTGAATTCAGGGTTGTTTTCTCAATGTCATTGCATTATAAAAAGAGTGGACAAATCAGGATATTTAAGTAAAATTTTAATACAGAAGAGTATTAGATTAACAAAATCTGAGGCTTTAAAAAAACTTTGATCCCAGTAGTAGGTTTATACTTGCACAAAATTCAAGAGGCAAGTATTTCATTTCATCATGTTTAACAAATATTTATTAAACAAATACCTGCTTTTTACATGTATAAGAAACCTAGAATATTGTGTGTGGGGAGGATAGTATATGTAACAGTGATTAAATAAAAAAACTCACAAAGCAAGAGATAGATAGGTAAATAGAGCATGATTTTTTTTTTATTGGAATTGTTACCAAAAGCCTAGAAGTATGTAGTTCTTGAGGAGGAGGAGAAATGTAGCTGGAGACTGGACAAAGCACATGACAATTGGAGGGAACCAAATCAAGGTGTGAGGTGGAAACGTACCTGGCAGATGTGATAGGCAAGGATTTGTTCTTGATGTTTGAGCCACAGGTCCGCAGGGATAAGGTGGTGGAAAGTTGTAAGGGAAAGCTGAGGAGGACCCCCCCTTCTGCGATAGAGATAATGATTTTCATATTTATTGGTTGATATCAAATATATAACATTTCTATTTTCTTTATTGCCTAAAATATCCTAAAAAAAGGTTTTGCTTATTTGTTGTCTACTTGGTGATACTTTCTTGAGGATTATCAAGGAAAAAAACAAAGTTCTGATTGTATAATAATGTTTATGACCTTTGTATCTTTTAATATTTGTTTAATGACTTCTCTGAGGAAATGAACAAAGTTTTGTTTTACAGTCTTTTTTTTTTTTTTTTAAACTTTTTATTAGGAATGTTCCAAAAGAGCAAATAATGGGAAATTCACTCTTCGAGATTTGCTTGTGGTTCCGATGCAACGTGTTTTAAAGTATCACCTTCTTCTCCAGGTTTGTAACTTAAAACTGTTCATTCATATATTCAACAAAATATCCTAGGAACATCAGCTATGTTCCAGATTCTCCATGGTTTTGGTCCTATTGCCATATATCGTTGAATTATTATATAGCTAGGCGGGAAATAACAGAACAACTGGACATTTTTTCCCTTGTTTTAGCAAAGATGATTCTGTTTCTGCCACAAAGTCATACTTTGTATTCTTCAAACAAGGTTGGATAAAAAAAAAAAAAGGCATTAAAAACAAGACAAAAAATAACACTGTCTCTTCAGCCAAGTCATCTCTAGATATCATTGGTCATTGACAGCATCTCTATGGTGTGATCCATCTGCATCTTTGCAGGTTAATCATACTAGACCTCTTGATACATAACAATAAGGTGAAGATATTTTTGTCACATTCTGTACACTAAATTACAATCAGACTACATTTATTTTGAAGTGATTCTTGTTATATCCCACAAATCTTGTGGTTTCCAGAGCTAGTCCTCTATTGTGGGTGAAGAGTCTTACACATTTAATTTGATAGCTGAACCAGGAGACTTATTAGTTCTGCTCCACAGAAATGTCTCACTGCATTAGTTAGTCGATCAATTCTGCTGATAATTATGAAATAGCATTTTAAAAAGATCTACCTGTATGTGCCATTACTCATCTGTCAGTTTCTCATATTATGGTGGCTTATGTGTTGCTGTGATTCTGGAAGCTGTGCCACTGGTATTTTAAATACCAGTAGGTTTGCCATGGTGGGTAGGTATCAACAGAGCTTCCAGACTAAGACAGACTAGGAAGAAGGAGAGGTGAGCCACTTCTGAATGGTAAGCCACTGAAAATCTTATGAATATGCAACAGAACATTGTCAGATATAGTGCCAGAATATGAGGCCTTCAGGTTGGGAGGTACTCAAAATCTGACTTGGTAGGAACTGCCTCCTCAAAGCAGAGTTGGCCATAATGATGTGAATGGAGCAAAACTCTTTGTTTGCTGATGGGGAGCAACTCAAAATGAAAAGAGACAACTGCAAACATCAATTAATAATTGGAACATGGACTGTTTGACGTACGAATCTAGGAAAATTGAAAATCGTCAAAAATGAAGTGGAATGCATAAAGCTCAATGACATTAGTGAGCTTAAATGGACTGGTATTAGCTATTTTGAATTGGGTAGTTAATATGGTTTACTATGCTGGGAATGACAGATTGAAGAGGAATGGCATTTGCATTCCAACTCACCCAGCAGATCTTTGGAAACCCTACACAAGGTTGCTATGATTTGGAACTGACTCAATGGCACTTACCAACATTAACATTTAACAAGGAAAACAACCAACTTTTTCAGTGTGAAATTGATCAAACATGATGTAATCAAGATGCATTGATAATTGCTGTTTCACATATGAAAATTGGAAACAATGATGATGGATCAATAGTTGGAAAACATGTCCTTGGTGATAGAAATGATACTGTAGATCATGATAGGATTTTTCAAGACCAATGACATAATCATTGCAAACACCCTTTTTAAAACAACATAGTAAGAGACTATACGGATGGACTACATGGGAATCAGATTGACTACATCTGTGGGAAAAGACAGTGGAACAGTTCAGTATCATCAGCCAAAACAAGGCCAGCGGCTAACTGTGAGCCAGGTCATTAATTGCTTATGTGCAAGTTCAGGCTGAAGCTGAATAAAATTAGAATAAGTCCATGAGAGCCAAAATATGACCTTGATTATATCCTACCTGAATTTAGATTCTATCTGAAAACAGATTTACTGCATTAGACGCTAATGGCCAAAAACCGGAAGAGTTGTGGGATGACAGCAAGACCATCATTTGGATCTTTGACAATGGGCCAAAACACATTAAATGGGGAAGAGAGAGTCTCCTCAACAAATGGTACTGGCAAACTGGAAATTCATTTGCAGAAGAATGAAATAAGACCATATCTAATGCCATATTAAAAACAAACTCAATGTGGATTAAAGACTTAAATGTAAAACCTAGAACAGTAAAGATCAATGAAAAAATAGGGACAAACTTAGAGGCTTTATCTAGTACATGGCATAAATACACTATCAAACATTACTAAAACACAATGGAAGACAAAATAGATGACTTGGACCTCCTAAAAATCAGGTACTTATGTGCATCAAAAGATTTCGCAGAAAGAGCAAAAAAGGAGCCCTCAGACTGGGAAAAAATTTTTTTCAGTGACGTATCAGACAAGGAGCTAATCTCTAAAATGTATAGAAAACTACAACACCTCTACAAGAAAAAGACAAACAACCCAATTAGAAAATGGACACAGGACAAGAACAGTATACCAAGGAAGACATTTCTGGCAACAAATAAGCATATGAAGAAATGTTCACAATGATTAGCCACTGTTGTTGTTGAGTGCTGGCATGATACCAGGAGTCCATTGTTGTTGTTGAGTGCTAGCATGATACCAGGAGTCCATTGTTGTTGTTGAGTGCT